CAGGGGCGGAGCTACAGCCTGATAAGGGTGTGCACGTGAACACCATTCGTCGGAAAATCACACTATTTACGTAAGTCAAAATTTATTAAATACAAATATATAATTCATTTTGCACAACCTTAACATTAATAGAGGCTTTGGCACAGTGGAAAAGATGTTCAAAAGGAATGCTGAGGTTGCCAGTTCGAATCTTGTTGCTATTATTTTACTTCTTTTGTTTGTCAAAATCACACAATCCTTTGTGGGTCCACCTAATCTCAAGTTACTCTTGCAAATTAAAGTTATAATTTACTTTCTTATTTAGGAGTCATTACATATTATTTATTTTATATTTATTTTCTCCATTTCAATTTATATGACATTGATAATTATTGTGCTTTATATTATTTTTTATTTAATTTTTAAATATATAAATTTTGTTTCAAAAGCTATTATTTCTGAATTCACGATCTAAGTTTAAAAATTTTAATCTCGAAATTTTAAGTGTGCTACATAAATTGAAAAAGGAAAAATAATAAATTTAACTCAAACCTTAGTTTGGATATATATATATATATATATAAAATAGTTGTTGGATTTGAACCCTTGACCGTAATGGTAGATGTTGTTATAAGAAAAAATAACTTATAACGGTAATAAGTATGTGCGTAAATAAAGAGTATTAAAGTCGTGACCAACATTAGTTAATTGTTATTGAATCCAATGTCGCATAGGGTTTAGAGACATTTACAAAAGTGCTAATTGCCACTAAAAATATATACTTAGTAGCAATTAAGTTATTATCGTTAATTAGTTGCCGCTAAAGATCATTTTTGGTATAGTACTTCAAAAATTGTTGTGGTAGAATGGATTTTGAGATCTGAATATAAAAAAGGAATTGGTACGACTCACTTTCACCTCTTTAAAGAGCCTAATACGTGTCACCTCAATGCTGATGTTGAACATCGGATGAGAAAAACTATTTTGATATATACAAGTTCATAGAAACAAATCTTTTGACTTTGTCAAGTACATCACAAGACAACAATTCTCTCACCCCAAAAGAAAAGAAGATAAAAAACAAAGTATATTTTTAATTATAAACAAAGTTAAGGTTTATATAATGAGTTTAGTGTTAATTTCTTGCTAAGCAAATATTTAGATTAAAAGTAACTTACTAATTTCATATATTTAGCTTCTTAATATGGTGATTAAGTCAAAAGTGGCATGCTATGGAATTTTTTTTCCTCTTTAATACCACAAAAAAAATAAAATCTTAAACAATACCCTACTAGAATAATTGACTTATTCCTATATATCCAATTGGCTTATTGACTAATTCTCTAACCAAGTGGTTAAATTTCAATTTATTTTTCTTTAGAAAATAAATAATTTAATTAGGTCAAAGTCTATTGCAATCTTGATTGACGGGAGAACACAATCTTTGAAAAAGGTCAAAATTAAAGTTGTTAAAGAACAAATTTGTGAGTATATACACTTAATATTTTTACAAAGACAATTTATATACAATGTTATTTTTCGATGAAGGGGTGTCGATTAACTCGTTGTGTATGCTTCACATGTTCCATCATCCACACTGTAATCTAATGGGCTATCAAGGACCACTTGCATGAGCAATAAATGGAATTTGCTAACTTGAATTAGACAAGAGCAAGGATTTTCTATGGGATGCGGGACTAGGGTTATGAACTTATAATCTGATGAACGAGTCATTTTCATGATCACAAGTTTATTTCCAATTGAATCAGACTAGAGCGGTGTTATATACACATTATGAGAATACTAAACCTTCGAGCGTATCTAAATAGATACTATGTTTGTATATGGATTCCTACGTTGTTACATTTCATTTTTTTGAAAATTTCCATTGACAACACCCAATTTGATAGCCCACAAAATACTGACATCTAAAAAAGCCCAAAATAATTAAGAGGGCTTTCTGGAAAGGGTGAATTGGGCTTTGTTGGGCCAAATGAGACATAGATGCCCATTGCCTGGCTAAGCAGGCCCATGCACTTTGTAGCCATATGGTCACAAAGACGTAAGAAAACACACGATGTTTACATCAAAACATATACAACTTCTAGTACTTGTGCATGGCGATCTACATGCAATTGTCATTAAAATAAAATATTTTGTGGGGACTACATATGTTGTCGTAGCTCAAATTGTTACTAGTGCATGGCGATTTACATGCAATTGTCATTAAAATAAAATATTTTGGGGGACTACAAATGTTGTCGTTATTAAAATTGTTACTAGTGCGTGGCGATCTACATGCAATTGTCATTAAAATAATATTTTCTGTGGGGACTACAAATGTTGTTGTTACTGAAATTGTTACTTGTGCGTGGCGATCTGCATGCAATTGTCATTAAAATAATAATTTTTTTGTGGGGACTACAAATGTTGTCGTTAATAAAATTGTTACTTTTTATAACGGGTTTTACGGGATATCACGACATCTTACTTTTTTATTTTTTTGCGATGACTAAAGAAATTGCTATGAAAACCCCGCCTCTTGTAGAAACTTTGCATCTTACCTCCATTTAATAATGTTTTAACATTTATGTCCAATTTTTTTTTGAAACTTATATATATCGATCAACTATTATTAAAAACAAACAATCTTTTGAAGGAATTTCTGAGGAGCTCCTTCAGAAGATTTCTTCGATGGACTTTCCATACTATTCACGTATTTCTGATGGAGCACCCTTGGAAATTCACTTGTTTTAAGTAATTTCATGTAGTTAAAACTTTAAAAGTTCGATGCTATAATAAAGTTATTAGGAATTACTTCATATGGATGACAGAATCACGATTTTCATTAAGCTGGCTTAATATATATATATCATTTTCTTGAATTTATTATATACCATAAATATACAATCATCCACACTGTAATGTAATGGGTTATCAAGGACCACCATAGGTATCCATAAATGGAATTTGGTAACATGAATCAGACAAAGAGCAAAGATTTTCTGTCCAATATTGATCCAACATACAAGTAGGGTCTCTAAACATAGTGGATGAACTAGTTGATATGCTTCATCTAAAATGGAAATGGGTCAGGATTATAATTTTATAATGTGATGATCCAGTCGATTTAATGATTATAAAATTTATTTCATACTAGAAAAGAGTTCGTTTAGATCTATCAAAAATAATAAAAATTGGTTTTTTTTTTTGTCTTTAGTAGTAGATTCAAACAGTTTAATTATCATTTAAGCAATTTAATCTTTTAAGTTTTCGAAAATTGAATACCTTCCGTTAAATATTTATCAAATCCAAATTGTTAAATTTACTCATAATTGCAAACATAAAAAATGTTAAATAGAATCTCATATTTGGAAGTACAAATTTGTAGTCTACGTTATTTTTTATCTATTTCAAGAGTCTAATGCATTTTTTTATGTTGCGATTCAGACGAAAATTTCGGTGTCTCAAGTATATCTTTCTCACCATTTCGGTTAAATTTAAGCAATAATTTCAAATAATTATACAATTAACTAACTTACATTACAAAGAATAACCCAAAACCTACATTGCAATGTTACAACAACCTGTAAAGCTGGGATAGAAACCGAAGTTATATCAAATAGATTAGTCATATGTTGCAACATATCTTTAGTCCAAACACAATAGCTCATTTTCGATATATATTTTTATCGTTATAACAATTTACACAAAATCAAATTTCAAGTAATCTTCCTTCTACTATTTCACTATTTTCTTTACAACAATGTAAAGGCTCACTTTTAATAAACTTAAAAGTACCAAAACTGGTCAAAGTAATACTTAAAAGGGACTATTTTGATCTTCTTACAAAATATAAGACTATTTTGTCATTTACTAATTTTTCACCGTTTGCCTTCACCGATTCGTTGTCATCGTTAACCTTTTTTTGGCTTCTTATTCAAAGTTGCTCTTTTTTTTTCTGCTCTAAAACCTCAAGGATTTCTCATTCAATGCAACTTCTGGGGTTGTTTCTTTCTTCATAAAAACAAAAAAAAACCAAAAAATATTAGCAAAAATTTGAAAAAAAGAAGAAGAAAGAAAGATAAATACTCTTCTGGGTTACTGTAATTTGTTGATTTTCAGGTACTTTTTCATATTTTTTCTAGTTTATATTGATTTATATCATTCTATGGACCCCTTTTTGATTTGGGGTTTTTAGTTTATGTATAATTTGAACGATCCTTGATTCATTCTGTTATTATTACTTGCTGAAACAATTTTTGTGATTTTGTAAGTTCTTGTTGAAGTTGTGTATTTGTTGGTCAATGTTGAAGTTTTACGTGAAAGACAAGATTTTTTGATCTGTGTTTTTCTATGGATTTTTTTTTTTTAAAGATTGAACCTTTAGTTTAGCTGTTCTTGAGTTAAATGGTGAAAATGTGCTTAATGGATTGTTTTGATCAATTTTTTTGTTTTTTTTAAGCAAAAAACAGAAAGAAATTAAATAGCTTTCTGGGTAGCTATAATTTGTCGTTTATCAGGTAAAAACTTGTTTTTTTTTAAAGCAAAAACAGAAAGAAATTAAATAGCTTTCTGGGTCGCTGTAATTTGCCTTTGCATATGTTTTCTAGTTCAGATTGATTTCTATGGTACTTGTGATATTTAGTGGACAGGGTGTTGGAATAATAATTCAAAGTTGGAGTACGAATACTAAGTTAATTAAGATTTGTTATTTATGATATTTGCTTATTTATGTTTAATTAGAATTTCTAAAACTAGTTTAATTTTGTTTGCTTCTGTCTAATTTGAATGATCCCTGATTCAGTTCGATTATTACTTGGTGAAATATTTTATGATTTTGTAAATTTTTGTTGCAGTAGTGAATTTGGCGGTTAATGTTGAAGTTTTACGCGAAAAGATATGGTTTTTTGATGATGGGGTTTCAAGTTTGATTTGTGTTTTTCTATTTTCAGGTTCAATTTTTTGATTGAAGGGATTTTTTTTTGCTCATCTCTATGGTGAGTACTTTAAAGATTGGATCTTTGTTTAGCTGTTTCTGGTGTTGAATGGTAAAAATGTGCTTAATGGATTGTTCTGATCGAGTTTGGTGGTGTTCAGGGAGAAGCTCCAGCTTTCTTTGCTGATAGTCTTATGGGAGATTTTCCAAAGAAAGTTGATTCGAAATCGAAGGGCAATGAAAGGGCTATCGTTGTTGGGAGTAAAATAGTATGATGATTCAATATATACTGATTTAATGCAATTTATTCGTTTTTATTAGCTATCAATGAAATGTTTTCTTTCCTTATTTTCATCAGTATGTGATTGATGGGGTTGATCATGAATTGGGGTCGACTATTGGAATTCGAATCTTTGATAAGTCTAGTGGGGAATGGTGAGTTTTCTGTTGTAGTTGGTTACGCTTGAACTGTTTATAGTTGTTCTGTAGCTGTTAGATAGGATGAAAAATGTATGAATGGATTTTGCAGGAGAATCCCCATTGTGTTGGGAGCAAAACCCAAGCCATCTAAGGACTACTCAGCTGTGCTTTTAAATGATGATCGCGTGTTAGTTGTTAGAGGGAACTCTGGTTCTAGTGAATGCTTTTGGTTTCTTGAGGTCAGTAAATCTCATGCTCACATGTTCCAAATGCTAATCTCTTTAACTTTTTGATTTGTAATGTCAAAACCTTTCGCGGAGTTTGTTGATGATTCTTGTTTGCTCTGCATGAAAAGGATTAATAGGAAAACTGCTTAGCTATTGACAACAATATCATTTGTTTGTTGAATAATGTCAAAATGAAATAACGAGTACAATAATTTGCGTTAATGAATTAATTCTAGAACCTCTTCTCTGTGTTATGCCAAAAGCTCTGCCATGCTATTGTAGGTGGGCACTCCATTTGTTAGACAACATGAAAAGACTTTAGGGAATGAGGTGGTTGCTTGGAGCAAAGGAGTTTTAGGCAATGTTGAGAAGCCTATTGTCATTAGTGGCCCTTCTGGAGTGGGTAAGGGCACCCTGATATCAAAGCTAATGAAAGAATTTCCATCCATGTTCGGATTTTCCGTGAGCCACACAACCCGAGCACCAAGAGCGAAGGAGCAGAATGGGATTCATTACCATTTTACTGACCGCAATGTGATGGAGAGAGAGATAAAGGATGGCAAGTTTCTTGAGTTTGCTTCTGTTCATGGTAATCTCTATGGAACAAGTGTAGAAGCTGTTGAGGTGGTTGCTGATGCTGGCAAGGTATTTGTTCTTCCATGTTATTTATTCCGTTAAATATTGGTTTTCTTTTTATCATCATCGATGCATAAACTGCAATGTTTCTATAATTTAGTTAATGATATTCTTTTTGATCCGAAAGAAGGGAAATTCTCTCTTTGATGGACCCCTATGGTTATCGCTTCATTTAGCTTTTTAGATTCTCCCTGAGAATAAATGCCCAAATTTTTAATTCTATCCCCACGGAGAGTAGATGCTCAGAATTGTGATATTTTGGCAAATAAGATGACTAACATCTGTAAGTTTTGGAATCTGTCAAACCGATAGATCCTAAAGCCTTAGAGAGCCACATTATTGGGTACTTTCACACCTATGCACTAGCCGGCCACCAGAGTCGTGCTTTTGTACTATATTTTAGGAGTAGAATATTTATTACTAATTGTAAATTTGCTGTCGCATGTCATGCAAGTTAGGTTCTTGAAGCTGGCATTGTGGCAACTACTATCTTTTTTAATTTATTGTAGGGATTGTACAATTAACTCATTTCATTGTTCTTTTAGGATATAGCTCGACTCTTCTAAGCGAGTGTTCATTTTTTCTGAAACTTCTATCACACAGCTCAAATTTTCACTGGATACGGCTAAGGTTTCTCGTTGTTTTTTTTGTCTACCCCTCACCGGGGACACTTCCCTCCTCAGCCTACCCTCCTCTTTTCGTCCCCACTGTCTAAAATAAGGAAAAAAGTAGTTATACACTGCAGTGGATGAGGATTTTGATAATTTACCTATCAGTTCTTTTAAAAGATGAAGATTTTTGTCAGTTATTAGATATTTACAAATGGCATCACACTTTGCATGTGCATTACATTAGTTGTTTCCTCTGCAACCTTCAAAAATGGTTTAGTTCTGTGTGATTGTGTAGAGATGTATACTTGATATCGATGTTCAAGGAGCAAGGTCTGTGAGGGCTAGCGCTCTTGAAGCCATTTTCATTTTCATCTCTCCTCCTTCTTTTGAAGAGCTTGAGAAGCGTCTTCGTGCAAGGTGGGCTAATCAAGAAATTCAAAGTTTCTCATCTTACATGCTGTTTAGTTATAAGAAGTATCATCCATATTTTGAACAGGGCAACTGAGACTGAGGAACAAATCCAAAAGCGTCTCCTGAATGCTAGGGCAGAACTTGAACAAGGAAAATCATCTGGTCTGTTTGATCATATTTTGGTAAACGATGATCTTGAAACTTGTTATGAGAAACTCAAGGTGATTCTAGTTAAAAACCTCATCTTTTCCTATTTTATATGTAAACGTCTTATCTAACAGACAATAATTCTTATGAAAAGAATATAATGACATCTACTAACATGACATAATGTATCTTTCAATTGATGTAGAACATTTTGTGTCTAAGAGAAGCTGCGAAATCTGCTCCTAAGACAAGTAAGTTAGTGCTAATATTTTGATGCCGTAGTTCTCTTCTTGATTAAAGATCAAATTATGCACCACTACTGGTTCCGTGATCTTTTCACAACTACAGTTCCAGAATCATTCAACTTGTCCATCGAACATCCAGTGTCAAAGATCGATCAAAAGCTTCTGATCAACTTTGGTGCTGCGGAACATGAAAATGCATCAAATAACACGTATGTTATCTCTTTTTCTAGATAGTCGATTATCCATATTATATGAGAATTCTAGAGTCTGGAGCGTCTGTTGCAGGTACGTTCTGGACTTGTCTTTGCTCAAAGGAGGAGCCCCTGGACGGACAAGAGGACTAAACATGTATGCTATTAATCCTTTGACTGATGATGTAAACGGCAACAACCAGCTATACTTAAACATCCCGTTTTGATTGACCACATCTTTTCTTCTTTTAAGTCGATGCAGAGGGCTGGAGCCCCTTTGAAAGAACCACAATTTTGACTTCCCGGTATCATTCTTGGATTGCAACAATGATTCGGAGATCCATGTTAGTGTACTATTCAAAGAAAACATGTGTTGGATAGGATGCTTTTCGATCTTTTATCTATTTTGTTTCGTTTCTTCTAAAAGCTTATTCATTTAAATTATAGTCATTATCATGAAGTTTCAAATTCTACGAGTGAAACTTCAAGACGTTGTAGAATATGTAAGCTTAGACAAACACCATGATATTGCTTTCCCTTCTCTTTTTAATGTTGCTATTCTTACATCTATGATTATAATTCCCCTCAAAGTTATACAAACACCTTATATATCATACATGCCTCACTGAAAACCTAAAACATACACTACAAGTATTGTTTATTACATATACATATGATAATTACAACTCCAGGGATATTGGATATTTACATAACTCCCAAAAGAGTAAATTAAACTATAGTATGTATCATTCAGATGGGTATGAATTAAGTGGTACTTATGACTCGAAGACCAAGTCAAAAGACTACTAGACGTCTTGCAGAGTAACTCAAAAGACTACTAGAAGTCTTGCAGAGTGACTCAAAAGACTACTAGAAGTCTTGCAGAGTGACTCAAAAGACTACTAGACATCTTGCAGAGTGACTCAGAAGACTACTAGACGTCTTGCAGAGCGACTCTCTTCAGAAATGTTCCGAGTGCATGCAATTGCAATGGTTGTTGTCATTGAGGTTCCACTGATAATGACAACCCAATTGAAGATTTTCTGTAGTATCATGTATTCCAGATTGGAACTGAAATCCTTCAACAGAATTACTATGATTGGATGATCCAATTTCATGTTCATAATTGAGTAGGTAATTTGGAGAAGAATCAGAATCCATTGAACTTTTGCCTTTACTACTTGGAGTAGTGTTGTTATTAGTTGTAGTAGTAGATTGGGTCTTCTTCTTTGTGTTGAGAAATCTACCTCCACCATCTCTAGCTCTCCTCATCGCGTGTCGGTGACGCGATTCGTGAAGATAAGGCTGATTTACGTACATACATTTTGAACAAACAAAATAACATCATTTGTTGTTTCTGTGCGTTCAACTGATTCCATTATGTTATGTATATGCATATGAAGATAGGGAAAATATATATACATTTGAACAAACAAAACAACATCATTTACCTGTCGTCTCTGCGCGTTCAACCGGTCCCATTACTTTTGACTCAAACTATATATGTACATGCATATGGAGATACAGCTGATATACATTTGAATAAACAAAACAACATCAATTGTCCTCAAACTATATATGCATACATATGAAGATAAGACTGATATACATTTGAACAGACAACATCATTTACCTGTTGTCTCTGTGCGTTCAACTGGTTCCATTACTTTCGACGCAAACTATATATGTATATGCATATGAATATACACTTGAACAAACACAATAACATCATTAATCACCTGACCTTTTTCATATGTATATCATGAGTTAGCCCAATTAGAGCCCGCTTTAGGGTCATGGATGTCTGTGTGTTTCATTACTTTCGACTCAAACTATCAATATATATGCAAAAAAGAAAACATTTGTATGCATATCATAAGATAATTAATACTCATTTATTGAACGAACTGACTCTAGATTCTGAATTCTCTCACCATTCATCGGTATCTATGCCTAATAGTAACAAGTGTATATCTACGAGATCGATGAGCTTAACCAATTCACAAAATGTATTAAAATTATAATCATTAATAAGAACACTTCTCTAATTAAGATGCATGAGTAGAGTGATCAACTATTCTCTTAAAAAATGCGATGGATGTGTGTTGACTTCTTCAAAAGTGATACATCTTCAAAAGATCAGATATAGATGTGACAACATTTTTGGAGAGTCCGAGCAACATAATTAGTCTTAGCAATCAAGAAAAATCAACTTTTATGGTGACTGAAAATATTCTTTGACGGTCCAAATAGTAATTAAGATAAACAAATCGAAACGAAAGGGATTACCTTTCGAGATTTGACCACTTTTTGTTGCAACACAGCCTTAGCACGAAGTTGCCTTCGTCTAAGAATTCCATGGTATTGTTTTGCATTTACATACATTGGCTCCTCTTTCACTTCAACTGGCAAAATCATTCTTCCATTATGATGAACTGCTGATGATCTCTCCATATTTTGATTTACCTGTTTATAAAAGGGAAAATTCCGCGATAACGTTATGTTTTACTATGATACTATGTTGAAGGGTACATGTGATAATCATATTTAAATGCTTAAGTTATTAGAGAGAGCAAATCGTGTAAATATTTAGTATAAAACTAGTTACCTAACTATTATCGTATGAATGATCTGATTGTGTAAATATTTTTTACGAACATGAAATCACATAAAGAGAAGGACATACCATAGGTTCACCACAAGCAATAGTAACATTGCCACCAGAATATTGTGGTACTTCTGAATAGGGGTATGATTTAAATGCCTGAATATTTTATAAATATAAGTATTAGTAAATCAAATAATTAATTCCAATCACATTTCAAATAATTAATTAAAAAAAAGAGGAAAATATTACTCACAATTGAGGAGGGTGCCATTAGTTCAAATTGATTTGCTGCTCTTAAATTTTCACCCATGCTTGGAGGCATAAATTCTACATGTTTGCCTTCTCTCTTGGAATCACCATCTGCTAATTCAAAAAAATAATCTCAAATTATCAATCGTTTTTCATTTCTCGAGATATAAATTATGTGAATTTTGGTTAATATTTTAAAATTATGTTATTTTTAGGGTAGGTGGAAGACTACTTACTCACAATCCTCTTCATCAGATTTCACTTGTGAAATTACATTTGATATGTTATTGTTCATCGTATGAAAGATCACGAGAAGAATTGCGACTATAAAATTAATTCTCGAAAAGGGAAAAGTGACACTAATGATAAAAATATATAGAAAGTTCCAATATTATATCATACCCGATTTTTGAAACATTGGACTTTCCACTTCGCCACAAGAACCAGCTCCGATTTCTGATCATATATTAAAAAAAACTTATAAATGGATATATTACAGGGGCGAGTAATTATTGTAGTGGATAAGTTATTTTATATTTAGGATTATAGTTTAAGTTTTTACGAAGAAATATATGCACAAATATTTGGATGATAGTTTTTAATTTAATTGTTGACGTACATAAAGTTAAACTCAATAATTTTTATTTTACCACCCAATTTTCTTTTTCAATTTTTCTCTTTTCGATGCCACTATTTAAATTTTGACCTCATAGAAAAAAGTTATACAAAAAAATAACAATCTCACTAGAATCTAGATCAAAATTCTAACGAATTGTAAGAAGACTTGCCTGATCAACAAGAAGTTATATAATAATCAATCATCGAAACTTCTAACACTGATCACCATAACATGATGTGAAAAAACCTATCATCACAACATGTTATGAGTACGATCACCAAAATTTGACCATAAATTTCGATGGATCGCTAGAATTTTCAACCATAGAAGAAGAAGAAGAAGAACCAACAACAACATAAGGAAGAAGAGAGAAATCCTGATGAATATAATATATATTAGACAGGCGGTGAAAACTACCAAGCTGGAGTGGGGCAGAAGGAATTTTTGGTGGAGCGGTGAAATGCGTAAAGATCAGAAAGAACACCAACAACGAAAACACTCTACTAGCCGACTGACACTAGATCAAAATTAAATTAATTGTCCTTCGAAAGTACATGCATAAATTCAGCAAAAACAAATGTTTATTAATATAACTATGGAAATTTTCACAGTTACCAATTGGCCAGTAATATAATCTCCAAACCACTCTTTCAAAATTTTCTTCCAAATATTGGGATACAAAAGAGAATAAGAAGATGGATATGGTGAGACATCTAAGCTTAATAAGAGGTCTCGATCGATTTTCACGTTCTAGAATTGACGGAGCTCTTGATATGACATGCTTCCCTTATAATGAACACATATACACAAATTCGAATTAATCAAGCCTATCGAAGCCAATGAATTTTGAACATAAAATAAATAAAGAGAGAGGGGGGGGGGTCAGAGGAGGGTGTCAATCGAGGAAGATAATTTAGCAAATCGTTAGTACATATGAAAATTAAAAGATATGAAGAAGGTAGAAAATTAAAATAAAACACACAAAGGGAGCAAGAATAGATGAAAAAGGGTCCTCATTAGTTAGTTAGCCTTAGTTTCCCAAGGATTAGGAATGGAACCCTTTAAATCTCGTACTATCTGTTTTGATATGCCTCCCCTTTTAGGTGGCACCGTTGGTCCTCTGTTGTTGCCATTAGTATTTTTGTTGCCAATTTGTGTTTAAAACAGAATTACTGATTCCAATAAACTTTGCAAAAACATGAAGTAACCAAAGTTTGAATGAACCAGTAAGAACAGAAGAACAAAAATTAATTCAAAACAACTAAAATCTGTAAAACATACTAGAATGTTAAAAAAAGACAGAAGGAAAAGAGCAAGCCCACTGAATGCACAGTGTCCCCTTAAGGAAATTATTCCCCTCTAGTATCCGAGGTTTGATTTGGAATATGTCCTCCCAGGATAGAATGATCTCAATCACCAGTGTATTGATACCAAAACTCTGGTGTCAGCGAACCACTCAACAGTAGTAAACTCGAAGAAACTTTGTGCAGAAGAAGAAGAAATTAGAAAAATTCGTAAGGAAAAGATCTGAAGAATCAATGTATTTATAGGTAAGAGGAACTGGTTCCGAAAGGTTGCAATCCTTTCAGAATCCACACGACCATTCATGAAAGTTTGCAACCTTTCAAACGGTCATGGTATATATATATATATGCATAATTTTCTTAACAATATGGTCAAAAATTAAATAGGTGTCCTTCCTAAGTCCACTCTGCGTTCGTGATGATAATAACAACAAGAATTATATCTTGATCACAAATAATTAAGTTAAAAATCGATTATATGAATCCAATAACATCAGACATAATAAAACCAAATAAATCAACAAGCAATTCTTCCTACATCAACCAAAAAATAATAAGTCATAGAAAAACAATAAGCAAGAAGAATATATTTACCTCCCTTAAACCAACAAAATATGAATCAAGAAAATGAAAGCAATAGACATGTCAAGCTAAATTTGGACATATAATTAAATTCTCAAAAATTTCCCAATCAAGCAAGAAAAATAAGAGGAAAATTAAAGAAGACTCACATGAGATATTATTGATTGGAAGAGAAAATATATGTTAATAAGCTTTCTCTTTGTGGAAAATATTGTATCTCAACCATATAAAGATTAAATATATATGGGGTTTAACATGGTCTATTCATAATTGTGCATGCTAAGTTAGAATAAAATAAAATAAAATAGAAAGAGAGAATCAAAGAAGAGAAGATAAGAAAGTGATGTGTGAATATTTAAATATAAAAACACAATCTAGGATTACCATTGTAAGACGTACAATGATATGTCCATTATTCTAATAGTAAATGACTAAAAGGCACTTGTTTAATATTCTTCTCTATTTGTCTATTATAATATAATATATGCTCTCTTTGTATAAGAAGATGAAATTAATTGTGAGAAATGTTTTTTTAATTCATATGAAAATTTAATAAGAAACATGACTAGGTATAAGATAAGGTCATTTTGTTAGATTTTTTTGGGAATCATGCCTAAAATGGTTAGGTGGTAGATCTATCCAAAGTGGACCAACAATTAGAGGTTATCTATATGAAAATCTTCTTTTTATCACATTGAGAGAAATAAATTTTGCTAATTATATTGAGATTTCAATGCAGATATCGAATAAATAAAAAAATATTGAAAAACATTTCAATTTCAATTCAAAACTTCAATCAAAATATTTGAATTTTATAAAAATAAATAAATAGATGCATCAAATTATGAAGTATTCACGTAAATATCAATGACTAGTTTCACCAACTCAAGCTCCTAAAATATTAGTTAAGCAAAAGAGATCTTTAGACTAGCTCCACTTTCACTTCAGAATCTTTGAATTATAATTAAGATAATAAGTACTTTAAAAATCTCCTTTAAGTTATATCATTTATTTAAATCTTACTCCCTCTGTTTCACAAAGAGTGACCTGGTTTAACTTGACACAAAGTTTTAAAAAATAAAAAAGACTTTTGAATCTTGTGGTCCTAAATTAAAGTTATGTTAAATGTACTAAATTGTCCTTCAATCTTGTGGCTTTAAACATGTCACGTGGAAAACTGAAATTAAAATGTTACCAAAAAAGGAAAGAGGTTATTCTTTTTGAAACAGACTAAAAAGAAAATAAGGTCATTCTTTTTTAAACGGAGGGAGTATAATCTTAACCATATCAGGTAAGATATTGAAATTTATAATGTGCACTAATCTTTAAAGATGATGATGAATAGTTAATACACTATATTAGATAAACTAACTTCATCCTTATTTTCTCAAAAAAAAGAAAAGGAAAAAAAAGGATAAAATAGTAAAAACACAAAAACAAGACAATAGTGGAAAATATTGATAATTCCAATATTAGAAAGTGGACAAAACGTGTCCTTTTTTAAATAGTGAATTCCTTTAACTTTTAGCCCCAAAAATCGCCGCGTGTGTACGGCTACTCAATCTCGAAGCGTGATGACTCAACAGTCAATATAACGGCGCAACGCCGTTAACTCCCCTTCTCATTTGTCTTGTCGGGTAATTAGGTGGCAAACGTTTACCAATAAAATCGTTTCTATTACGATATTAGTGGATCGTTATATCAAAAATAATTGTCACATATTAGTTGATCACCTTACTAAATGAAAAAAATATCAATTAAATTTTTTCTACATTATCCTAGCAATTAATATTTTTTTAAATTATTCACATTTATTTGTAATTTTTTCAAGAAATTCTTTATGATTTTTTATACACCGTACAAAATAGTAAGTGATCAACTGATATGAGACGGAACCAACAGAGGGAGTAAGACGACATTTCACGGGTCTTCGTGAAAGCAACCGTTAACTTTCCACGCGTCCAACCCAAACTAATAATGGAGTAAACGTTCTGCAGTTTAAAATATAGCCAAACAAGTGTGCTAATGTTTCCTAGTGCCATTATGGAAAATATGAGCAATCAAAATGAATAGTTCCTAACCTTATCACCTATTCAATTAAGTCTTGAGTCGTGTTCAAGATTTAATATATATGTATAAAAAAAATTAATTTTTAATTTATATATTGCAAATAATTTTTTATATATATAATATACTTTTTTGGCTAAGGGTGTAATTTCTTCGCTATATGTGACTACACCACTGCCTAGATCCCATTTATTGGATTCATGGGATATGTTGTTATTGATGTTATTGTAATTGCAACATGTATTTCAAGTTATAGTTTTGCCTCTATTAATAGTAGATCTAGAGTTTAAAACCTATAGATTCACGAGGATTGAGTAGTTTTTGCTCAGATTCTTTACTAAATATTTATAAATATTTGATTATGGATCTTATTATTATTGTAGTTTAATTTGAGATTAGCGATAGGAATTCATAATTTTCAAATTCTGAATTTACGTTTATAAGTTGTAGATCTATGAAGTTTAACCTATAGCTCGTCCTCCTTCTAAATCCTACCTATAACGTATGATTAAATACACCATATAAAGGATGTTGAAAAAAAAGTTTTCCACCATAATTTAATGGCTAGAATTTATAAATAATATACTCAGCATATTCTAAAAGATATCTAGGTTGGCTTCACAAGATATTTTGATGATAGATGATATAGTGTTATTGTAGATTTGCTTTCGCTAAGAATAAACCTATAAGTATTTTAAAACATGATCTTAATTATTTGCGTTAAATTATCATTTCTTCAAGAACCACGTGATTTTAAAACCAAAATGGAAATTAAGAAAAAAATTGAGAGTGATTGATCATCTTATAGATGCTAAATATAGTAAACTTTAATGACACTTCTCTCTCACATAAATAAATTCTTATAAGATTCTTGACGTTTTGTGTGGTTGAGTACGTCACAACTCACATGCTCTTTTATTTTTTAGTTTAAGACGGTCTGGCGTACTAAGCTCTCGCTATGTATAAGATTCAAGGAAAAATCGAACTACAAGAATATATTGTACGAGACTTATCATGTAATTATGCAAGAAAACGCTCCCCTAGTCAGATGACAATAACTTTACCATTTACGTTAAGACTTTCGTCAAAATTGACCCCAAAAACTCTTTGAGCAACTAACACTTAGTTCAATGACTTTAATGAGACGAAAAATAGTTTTGTGAACTTTGGTGATACAAGAGGTAAAATTTAATTACTCGTGTGATATTAGACTGAAGATAATTATCGATATAACTTTAAAATATAATGCGTTCAATAGTAAAAATCTCAAAATCCTGAATACGTCTCTTACATAAACTTGTTGAAATTTGGAACTTTACCTGTGAGAATTGAAGCTTCTTGTTCTTTGAGATCCTTGTGGTTGAAATTTTTGAAGATGTATTTCATGAGTTGTTGTTGTTGTGCAGTAGCAAGGTACTTCAGAGACAAGAGGAGAAGAAAAAAGGGGAAAATTAAGCCAAATTTATTTTCTGTTGATTATGGCCAAGTGAATGGTGGATACAAGTCCCATGTGTTAGACTGGCTCTGATATTGAGGGAGACATATGAACTAGGACCAGTGACGGAGTCATGTACAAGAGCGTTGAAAATTAGACTGTAGATGTTGAATTACTTTGACTTTTCTGTGTTTACTTAGTGAAAGTCTAGATTCCGACTCTATTGACCTTTTATTACTTATGTAGTGTCGTTATCTAGACATTTCATTACTTACCGGCCTTTACCCCTCTCACTCCAGGGACGAAGCTAGTACGGGCTGAGGGGTGCAGTTTTAACCTAAGTTATGTACAGATAATGCAGCTTGAAACAGCTTCCAAATGACACAAATTGTTTTTCACTATGAATTCAAATATGTCATCTATGTAACCGCCTTCACATCCTTGATCTTCATTCGTTCTATCACAATCCATCAATTCTTATTCTGATAGAGAGATCAACTTTCCTGTTGAGAGTTTAGTAATCCCCTCTGTTGCTGCTATTGCAGAAAATGCCCAACAACTCCCTGTTGGTAACAAAAATATTACTAAGAGTTTTTGTATACAAGTGTATATAAAGGCGGTAAATTTAAACGAAATGGGATTAAAAAGTTAAAATCAGTTATTCACATACAAATATGATTGGGCCTGGACCCAAAATATGATTGGGCCTGTACCCAAACAAGTCCGGCCCATTAAAACAGTTTCTTAGGCTTCCTCAGCTCTGCCACTTTGCTTGTAGCCTGCCGCAAAATCTGCCCGTGACCGGTAAGTTCTGTAAAGTTTGTGTCGTTTTAGTTGGTTTTTGAGTTGAAATTGATAATTTATGACTTTTTGTGAATTGGGTTTCTGTTTCTTAGAACACAGAATATAGCTTATGCTATTCAATGATAAATCTTGTTTAATAAAGTTTGTCTTTTAGTTAGTTTTTGAGCTTCCATTGATTCTTTCTGACTTTTCGTGAGCTGGGTTTCTGTTTCTTGGTAGAATTAGCATATAAACATTGAGGACTTGTTTGATTTTGTACTGGAAAAATTCTTAGAATGTGGAATATAACTCATTCTATGCGATGGTAAAATTTGTTTCATACAGTTTGTGTCTTTTAGTTAGTTTTTGAGCTTCCATTGATGGTTTTGAATTTTTCTGAATTTTAATGGACTGGAGGAATTGTGTGATATTATACTAAAAAATCATTGAATATGGACTGCAGCTTATGCTATGCAGTGGTAAATCTTGTTTCATGAAGTTTGTGTGTTTTAGTTGGTTTTTGAGCTTCCATTAATGGTTTTGGATTTTCTATGTTGGGTTTTTGTTTCTCAGTAGTTGGCATTTGCAATTGGAAGTTGTGATATTATAGTTGAAAATTCTTTGTACATCAGTGTACAAACTCTATTCCCGATCAGTTGGTGCTTCAAACATGTTAGAATATTGATTCTTCTATATGCTTACAAGTTATTCCTCTAAACTATAGCCTCATTTTGGGTTAAATGTGTTCAGGTTCTTTTGCTTTTCAGTAGATAAACGTATGGGTTGTTCAGCCATTGCCATAGTTCAAGCTCATCAATAACAAGGATAGGTGCAAAAAGGCGAGGGAGCCAGTATAATATAGTGGCGTCTAAAATGTCCAGATGTTCAGTAAAGTGTGCATTAACCAGCTATCTGTTGAGAGTGTTAGCTTGCCGCAAACAGCAAAGATGATTGATGCTTTCTCGCTCGTCTAAACTGCATATTCTTCTTAGTTTTGGGCTCAGAGCACGGGCCAACAGCAAGGTATATATAACTCAGTGTGTTTATTTTCTAGTGAATATCAATCTGCAGCCTCTCGCAAGATCTGAAAAGCCACAGTCGAACAGCACAGAAACACATACAGTCGTTGATGGCAATGATCGCCAGGAGAAGCAAGAGCTCTGTACCTCTCTTGCATGAAGTCCTCTTTTCCGACCACCCTCTTCCCTGCTCATACACCCAGCGGCAGACCTATGTAGATGTGTACATGAAATGGAAGAAAGACTCTTTTTTTGACTCCATTGATACTATTCACAGATCAGTTCAACTCAAGCCTTTAATTGCTCTTAAGAACTGCATAGTCTCCTCTTCACCTAATGATTATTGCATCCCCATTTCTGTTATTTCGAAAAAAGGCTTAGAGTTAGGGATACCCATTAAGGTTGCCAGGTTCTTAAGGTTGTATCCATCTGTTTTTGAGGAATTTACTGGCCCTAACTACAATTTGCCTTGGTTTAAGTTGACCCAGAGGGCTATTGAGCTTGATAGAGAGGAGAGAGAGGTCTACTTAAAATTTAAGGATGATATCATTTTGAGGCTGAAGAAGTTGATACTGATGAGTGGCAGGGAACAGATGCTTCCTCTAAAGATAATTCAGGGTCTGCAATGGTATTTGGGGTTACCCGACGAATTCTTAAGGAAACCGGAAGACAATCTTGATGGGTGTTTCAGAGTTGTGGAAATAGAAGATGGATTGAAAGGGCTGGCTGTTAAGGTTGATGGAAGTGAAAGGTTTTTATCAGTGATGCAGATGAATGCGATGAAGAGGGGAGTGTATAGTGGTGTGGACGGTGAGGCAATAGAATTTCCACTGTATCCATCAAAGGGATTGAGGCTTAAAAGAAAAATTGCAGACTGGTTTGATGAGTTTCAGAAGTTTCCATATGTTTCACCCTACGAGGATTATTCAGGTTTGGATCCAAATAGTGACATAGCAGAAAAACGAGTGGTGGGTGTGCTTCATGAATTGCTTAGTTTGTTCGTCGAACATGCTGCAGAAAGGAAGAGGCTTTTGTGTCTTAGGAAATACTTGGGGTTGCCGCAAAAGGTTCACAAGGCATTCGAGAGGCATCCTCATATCTTCAATTTGTCATTGATGAACAAAACTTGCACCGCAATACTAAAAGAAGCTTACTGTGATAGAGGGGCTATCGAGGAACATCCATTAGCAAAAGTTAGAAAAAGGTACATCAAATTGATGAAGGAGTCGGAGGGTATACTGAAACGTAAAAGGTTTAACAACAGGCCAATTGATCAGGGTGACTCGAATATCAAGGACTTGGATTGTACAGATGATGAGGATAAGAAATTTACAACTTAACTCTGCTCTTTATGCTTGTGTCACTATAATCAGGTGCAGGATTTAAAAGAAATTATAAACGAGAAGGAAAAGAAAATTGAAAGAACTGTTCAAGCAGGATTTGTAGGCATTTGGAATGAAATGAAAAGACTGTTTGATCTGTATTGCTTCAGAGGTGGATGTTTCTCTCATTTATGCTGCAGTTCTTTCATCCATTAAGGGCGATTTCAGTATGAAGGGGATGGCCACAGTCATATGAAGGAATAGTCATACTATTAAGTATTACCAATGGAGCCTCAAAGTCTTGATCAACGGTATATGATTAGCTTACATGATGTATTATTAGCTGACTGATGCCCCCCTCTCATATCTTCTATATATGACATGCTTGACACTTTTATGTAACAATGTTGGAAAGTTTTATGTCATTTTTCCTCAACATATAATTGCTATTCCTTGTGATCTATCTTAACTTTTTTCTTAGTTTCATGCTTTCTTTTGTTGTTTCTTCATATACCGATGCCACCTGACTATCTCAAGTTTGAAATTATTGAAGTGGGAGCATGCTCATCGAGTCTTTGCTCTTGCAAGAACCCAACACCACATGGAACTAAACTGTCCTTGTTGATGCGCTTATGTTTAGTTCCAAGAGTAGATGCTTTGTCTAGTGTTTGAGTGAACTGTGGATTGTGCATGTTTAATCTTTGCTCGTTACAATTCCCTATCAGGAACCTCCTGTGACTTTTTGGTGTAGTTCAAAACAGAGAAGCCTCCATTGCGGACTGCAGAAACTATGATGGATGCCTAGTGCGGGTTATCTCTCCTATGTGGTTTGCGAGCTATTGCATAGGAGCAGAGTTTTACCCTGTGCGCACCCAAAGGGTAGTGGTTGCGGGTTTCCCTTGTCATCAAAAAAGATAGAAATTATACACGAACTCTTCTGCATCATTGAAAGCAGCAGCACAGGGCTGGCATGATAAGGAAACTACTTAAAGAATTCTTGAAAATAAGCATAGATCAATATATGTAATGAAATGTAGTGTCTTATAGTTGCTATGTTCCTGTTTGAACTGTGCATTACAACCAAGATGTAAAATTTTGTGGACCTTTTGAATTCCCTACATGTTTAAGAGGAACATAAAGTCCCCTTTTTCTGTACAATGTTGGCACCTTGTTGATGCAATCAATGAATTTATAGCAGTAATAAATAAAATTGTGATCATTATGATTCTCAGTATTTCAAGCATTCATGTTGACAATTTTTTACATTTTTTATTGAGAAGTTGTTGAGTTATCATGGAATTTTTGGTCTTAAACCTGTATAAGAGTTGCTTCTTACATTGGGTGAGTAGTGAGTAGTGACGCCTCAATCCCAAGCAAGTTGGAGTCGACTATGTGAATCTCCACTTTCCATTTAGGCCAATGAAGCAAAATAGTGACGGTACATTTACAGTAGCAAATGAAACCACCAATGGTCTTCTCCAACTAACTCATCAGCTCGATAAGCAATTAGTATACATCAAAATCTTTTTCATTTGAATAAAGAGAGGAATGAAAGTTGAGAGTTTAGTTCTCTCATTATATACATTACACATAAGTCAAAACTATGTATATTTTCTATCAATAGTATCAACTGCATACAAATTAGATCATCCCAGTAACGACGAGAAGCTTTGGCCGCTGTTTAAAAACTCATCAACAGAAGTATATTGAGTTGCAGTGATGTTCATCATCTCATTAGTCAATGTTGTTGGATCATGATAGTCTCCTAATAGCAATGACTGAATACTATTATAGTTAGGCCACTGGGGTTGTGTTGTCATATCGTTCATCTTCTCATCATCACATCCAACATATCCTGATTCAATATTTTGCAATGGCTTCGCCATCTGTTGAGGAAGTTGATCACCATATCCATATTCATTAGGCCCCTGGGGTTGTATATCATCATCATCATCGTTTCCACGGGGAGTTGTTGTAGGCATATGATTTCCTGATTCATCAGTGCAGATAGGCCCCTGGGGTTGTGTATCATCGTCGTTTTCACTGGCAGTTGTTGTAGGCATATGATTTCCTGATTCTTTTACTTTACACCTAATGTAGCACAAAACAACATCCTCGTACTTTATTAACAACTTTATTACCTTGTCGTCAAGACTATACTCTTTCATAATCCAAGAAACATCATTAACTTCATCCTCACCATCCTTTTTATTTTCTTCATAGTTATAACTTCTTTTGATCCCAACTTTCTTTGCCCCTACCGGTTTTCCTTTAGCCTTCCCTTTCCAACTTCCTCCTCCAACCAAAGTCCGAATAAACCTTGTATGGTACGGTTCTAACTTCTTTAATTGAGTAAAGAAATATTTAGTATCTGATGAGTCTTCCAATAACTCCCATGGCTTCTTACTCCCGTAAAGATCTTCAAATTGAATATCATTGCAAACGTAATTGTTTGAAGAAACAAATTTGATTAGATAGCGAATAAGTTGGTCATCAGTGGGTCGAAACCTGACTCCTAATTCTGACACTGGAATATCATGGGTGATGCTCATAATTCTGCAGTGAAGAGAGTAGAAAAAAACTTTATGTTGTGTTTTAGAGAAGGGTATAGAATGATGAGTAGTCTTTGGTAATTGGGTTTATATAGAATACAAGTGTAAAGGCGGTAAATGGAAATCAAAAAAAGTTTCCTTAGATAAAATCAGTTACTTACTGTATAGAATGATGCCTTATATATAAGTTTGTTTGTATAAAGGGAACCAAATTTAAGAAGAATTGGGAAATGTAAATGCAAAAACTTACCTTATATTTCAAAATTAGTTACCTAAAATCACCCTAATACAAACGTAATGCAAAAACTTTCCTTATATAATAAATTTAAAATTTGATGTATAATCAATAATTATATGATAAGTGAAGGTACTTAAAAGTTGATTCCAATTGGGAATCAGCTATCCGTTGAGAATGTTAGCTTAGTGTTGTTTTCATAATCTACACACACCAGAAGCTGCAGAAGGATGAAAAACCTCTCAATATGTTCCCAACTCCGATGGTATTATTGCGAAGGGCCCAGTGCAGTTGCGAACACAAGATTTTCACCAAGAGGGTTCAACATCTACTGTATATTATATATACATAAAGATTTTACTGTTGCATATGAAATGCCAAAGCTCCATTTACACATAGACAAGAAAAAAGAAGTATATATGATTGAAGGCCTTGTACAGAATGGTACATATCAAGAACTGTTTCTGGTTTTAACCCTTACCATATAACCTCCTTACTCGCTCCAATATGAAAATCAAAATTACAACCTCGGAGCTGATCATCAGAGAAGAACAGCAACCTCAGACAATATACATAGTTTAACTATTTTTAGACCACTAGTCTACGCTAAGAACAGTGAATTCATACCGTTTTGTATTTCTACAGGGGTTTTCATGATCTGCAGGTCTGAGATTAAGCAGAGACTTTTGGATGATACGAGTTTTGATTCAACTCTGTGTAACCTCTTGAAGCATTTCTATCACCTTCTTCATTCTTGGTCGTTTTGCTGGAATGGTATCGGTGCACATCAATGCGACTTTTAGAGTTGCAAGCATTTCTTTCCTCCAAGCAAAAGAAATGGTGCTAAGTCTTGCATCAAGTATCTGCTCTGGTGTTTCTCCTCTCGCAGAAGCACCATGTACCCACCTGACCAGATCAACTCCTTCACCAAAAGCTTCATCAACGGGTAGTCGGGTGGTAAGGATCTCGAGCAAAACAACGCCATAGCTATAAACATTTCCGGGAGCTGTTACTTGCATTGTATATGCATACTCTGTTGAAGAAAAAGGAACTAGTCAGACACCAGATATTTTCCACAAAAAGAAAATGCTCCCTCCGTTTCAATTTGTTTGTCTGGCAGATAGAATATACAAAATGTCCATGGTCTTAATAATGTCAGGTGTAAAGTTAAAATTAAAGAGTTACAAAGAAAGGAAAGACATTTTTTTTAAACCGACTAAAAAGGAAAGTAAGACAAACAAATTGAAACACGAGGTAGTAAAATGATTAGCCAAGTCTTTCAAGCCATAGAATATACCTGGGGGAATGTATCCAAATGAGCCAGCAACAGCACTAATACTTGCAGTCCCTCTAGATGGATCAAGAAGTCGGGATATTTCAACTTCAGCAACCAAAGGGGTGAATTTAGAATCAAGAAACACATTCCCTGAAGAAACATCAAGATGGATTATGGCCACATGATGAAGGAACGCTAACCCTTCTGCAACGCCAATGGCAATGGAAAGTCTTGTAGGCCAGTCAGGTTCGTACTCAGGTTTCTGGCTAAACTCATGAAGAAACTGAGCCAATGTCCCATTGGGATAGTATTGATGTAAGAGTAGAACAACTTCCTCATAGATTGCAAACCCGAGAGGCCTCGTCAGATTATCATGACAGAGTTTACTTAGCTTTTCAAGCTCTCTGATCATCTTGCTCTGGTGATGAACTATAGTCTTGTCCATCGACTTTAGGCTCTTAACATACAAAATCATCCCGGAAGGCATGTCTGCTCTATACACATCACTGAAAGTTCCAGTACTAATCTTATTTGTATCTTTCCTGACTGCCTTTACAACTGCATCAAAATCTATTGCTTGCTTGAGATTTTCATCGAAAACATTCCCTGCTATGATCACTGGTTTGCTACAAGTTTCATCAGTGGTATTTCCATCTTCCATGGTGGTTTTCTCTTGTTTCTCCCTCATCATGTATAGTAAAACAACCACTGTGACAACTGTAAAAATTGCCAAACCAGAACCAACAACAGCCAAGATGAGCCGGTAGGAAACTCGGTGATGATTACCGTTGTGTTCAAAATCATATCCACAATCACTACTCAAAGGCTCACCACAGAGCCCTTTGTTTCCAAGAAAGCTTGAATTTAAGCTCTTCTCAAATGGAGCAAAAGCAGGTATTGGTCCTGTGAATTGATTGCTCGAAAAGTTAACCTCTATCAAGCTCAACATGCCTTTCAATTCCAACGGAATATTCCCCGACAGCTGATTATTAGATACATCTAAAGAAACCAACTTGTCAAGTTTTCCAAGATCCTTAGGCAACTGTCCATGGAGATGATTATGACTCAAATTCAATGAAATCTGTAAGTTCTTCATATGACCAATCTCAGAAGGGATGCTTCCAGTAAGATAGTTACTCCCCATTTGCAACTCAAGCAGTTTTACGCAGTTCCCTATCTCACGGGGTATTTCCCCTTTCAAGGAATTCTGTCCCAACAACAAGAACTGCAATTTGGTTGTGTTGCATATATCTCCTGGAATGGTTCCATTGAACTTGTTGTTACTTAAATCAAGCTTGTTGAGATTCTTGCACCTCAGAACTGAAGTTGGAATCTCTCCATAGAGATTATTCCCCGGAACAATCAACTCCTGTAGATTATCGAGCTCACCAAACTCTGGAGTGATAGTTCCGGAAAATCCATTCGAAGCTAAATTAAGAAGAGTGAGATTAGAGCATTTCGCAAATCCTGAGACGATTTCCCCGGAAAGTGTATTATTATCTGCTTCAAAATAAGCAAGACTACTTATATTTCCAATTCCTTTAGGGATACCACCTATCAGCTTGTTATTCCCAATTCTAATGCTTGAAAGGCCTTTGCAATTCACAATTGAATCAGGAATAGTGCCAGTCAACTTATTATTAGTCAGAACTAAAAATTCAAGCTTTTCCATAGTAAAAATACTCTCAGGAATTGTCCCTTCAAGCTGATTTGAATGAAGATTTAACAACAAAAGCTCAGAATGTAAGCCTAAGTTAACTGGAATATCACCACTAAACTCATTCTCATAGGCTGCAAACACTCTAAGATTAGTCAAATTCCCAATCCACATTGGAATAAAACCACTCAATTTATTGGTAAATAATTGGAAATAAAGCAAATTCTCCATCCCTTCAAGCTCATCAGGTATTGAACCAGTGAGCATATTGTTTGAAAGATTCAATGCTCTAAGGTTCTTGAGCTTACCTAATTCACCAGGAATAGAGTTTCTAAACATGTTAAAAGACAAATCAAGAAACTGAAGCTCAGACAAATTCCCAAATGCTTGTGGGATTGAACCTTGGAAATTGTTATTAGAAAGGTCCAGCCATTTCAATCCTTTGAGCTCAGATATTAGAGTCACATTACCTTGTAATCGAAAACCCGAAAGATTCAGCCTTTCCACCATTGAACTGTTTGAGCTGCTGCAACTAATGCTATGCCAAGAACAGAAATCAGTGCTATTCAGATCCCAACCAGGTATTGCTAGCTCTTTGCCAATTGCTTCCAAAATGGCTTGTTCATGAAGAGCCTTTACAATCCCAAATTGAGACCTTAACAACAACCCCACCAGCAAAACAGTGAACAACCTCAAAGTTACCATTTTTAAGTTGTTTTTTTCAAGAAAATCTTCAATTTCTTCCCTTTTTTCCCCAAAAAGAAAAAAGCCCAAATGGAACAATCAAGAAACCATAAAGAAACAAAATGCTAGAACCCAAAAACCAAGAAACCTTGTAGAGACAACTAGAGTAGAAACAGAAGGGTTTAGAAAACAAAAGATACAAACTTGAACAACTTAAAGGAAATGACCCATTTCAAGAATCTTGAAAATGAAACAGAACAATAAAGATGCAATCTTTACTACTCAAGAATGAACCCCATGTACCAAAAACAACAAATAAGTTGCAGAAGTGATAAAAATTGCAGTTTTAAGTACAAATAGAAGAAAGATACAAACTTGAACAACTTAAAGGAAATGACCCATTTCAAGAATCTTGAAAATGGAACAGAACAATAAAGATTCAATCTTTACTACTAAAGAATGAACCCCATGTACCAAAAACAACAAATAAGTTGCAGAAGTGATAAAAATTGTAGTTTTTAAGGACAAATAGAAGAAAGATGATGCAAATGGGGTACTTATTTTGATTTAGGAAACTGCTTACATGGGCCAGGTGTTTTTCTTTTTTCTCTATTGGAATTTCTGAAAAGAGAAAAGAGAGTTTGGAGAGAGAATCTATGCTACTAATGACTACTACTTATTTGAGTTCTCAAACTCAAACTGACAGTGTCACGAGAAAAGAGCAGTGTGAGTGAATGAAACTGTGTATATGAGTCTCTGCAACTGCTACTTATGAATACTTCCAATAGAATGTGTTATCTACGCATCGTAAATTTGAATTAATCGGATCAATGAACTACAAATATCATATGTTAATGATTTGGTTTGGTGATGTAGTTCAAATAATCTTAATTATAACATATTTGAAACAATATATTTTTGTCTCAATTTAAGTGACATACTTTTTTTTAGCCAGGTCGAAAAGGAACATCGCATTCCTATAAATGAAAATAATTTAACTTTAAAACTCATGTTACCTACCACGTAAATAGTAAGAAATGTTTAAATGATAAATTTCAGAAGTGTTCATTTCATGGCATGTTGTCCAAATATGGAAGGGAAAGACCTACATTGACAATAATGACAATTTTTTTTAAATAATTGACTTG